TTGCAATCCTTGAGCTTCGGAGACGAATTCAACCAGAGTTTGGAAAACATGGCTTTGCCGGGCAACTTGCAGTCCTTGAGCTTCGGAGACAAATTCAATCAGAGCTTGGAGAATGTGGCCTTGCCTGGAAGCCTGCAATCCTTGAGTTTCGGAGACGCTTTTAATCAGAGTTTGGAGAATGTGGCCTTGCCTGGCAGTTTGCAGTCACTGAGCTTCGGAGACCAATTCAATCAGAGCTTGGAGAACGTTGGGTTGCCTGGCAGCTTGCAGTCCTTGAGCTTTGGAGACGATTTCAACCAGAGCTTGGAGAACGTGGCCGTGCCTGACAGCTTGCAGACCTTGAGCTTCGGAGACGAGTTCAACCAGAGTTTGGAGAATGTGGCCTTGCCTGGCAGCTTGCAGTCTTTAAGCTTCGGCGATTCTTTCGACCAGAGTTTGGAGAACGTTGGGTGGCCTGGCAGCTTGCAGTCCCTGACATTTGGATTTTCCTTTAACCAGAGCTTGGAGAATGTGGCCTTGCCTGGAAGCTTGCAGTCCTTGGCTTTCGGTTTGTCTTTCAACCAGAGCTTGGAGAATGTGGCTTGGCCTGACAGCTTGCAGTCCTTGACTTTCGGTTATTCCTTCAATCAGAGTTTGGAGAGTGTGGCCTTGCCTGACGGCTTGCAGTCCTTGAGCTTCGCAGACAACTTCAACTACGGTTTGCATAATGTGGCTTTGCCGAGTGGACTTGTGTGCTTTGAAGGTATGGGGGGCTTACGTGTAGTTGTTCACACCCGTTGTCCAAAGACGAGCAGCGAGCCCTGCAGTCGAAATCAATGCGAATGCCATCTGTGTTCTAAACCCTGAACCCTAAACCCTTTTAACTAGAAGCCCTGCGGAGCCTGAGCCTAGTTCTCTAAATTGGGGTCCCGTTTTGGGGTCCCTAAAGGCCCAACCCTCCCTAGTCTTTCGGACCGAAGCTCGCGGTAGACTACTCTTTGCTTAATTACGAACAAAAAAAACGATGATCCCTTTTTTGCCTTATAGGGAAGAATTTTTGGGGGTGCTTCTTTTGAGCAAATACTAGTAGACTGGTCCTCGCGCCTACCTCCTGAAGCCCCGCTACATATATCCCCACATGTACTGTCTTTTCTCTAACAGCTTTGTTGTTGCTTCTCCAAGAGTTTTGTTTGGTTGGATCCTGATCCCCAAGCCGCCTCGACAGCCCATGAAGGGTTTTCTTTGAGGTGTCTCCGTTTAAGGGCCCATACTATAATACAGGGACCATGTAACTACCCCTAGACCCTAACCCTAAACCCAAACCCTAAACCCTAAACCCTAAACCCTGAACCCTGAACCCTGAACCCTAAACCCTAAACCCTAAACAACAAACCCGAAACTACGAGCAAGACGCCCAGGTTGCGTCACATGGCCGCGGCTTTTGCCGGCGCGGGCCGCGGTGCTGGCGCTCCGCTGACACCTCACAGCAGCGGAGGCCCCTTGAGGGCTCGCAGGACCCTAAGCCTAAGCCTAAGCCTTATAAATAAACCCTAATCCCTAAACCCTAAACGTTTTACATAAACCCTAAGCCTGAGCCTAAACCTTATAAATAAGCCCTAAGCCCTAAACCCTAAACCTTTGAAACCCTAAGCCCCAAACCCTAAACCCCAGGGTGTAGGTTTTAGGTTCAGTTGTTTTTTTTGTTGTGGGACAGGGGCGGGGGAGGCTCTGTCTGAGACTTGTCGAGTGGACTTGTGTGCTTTGACGATCCTGGTATGGGTTTATGCGTTGTTGTGCACTCTTTGCGGTCTAATGATGGGCAGCAAGCTCTGAAGTATGCGAATGCCATTTGTTCAAAGGAGTCATTTAAAGTTGCTAAAGACCTACATACCCTAAACCCTAACCTCTAACATGTAAATTACTCCTGCGCGCCCTCTCATCCACAACTTCCTGGGCTGGTATTCGGCGTGGCCAGAACCACTAAGTCCGCTGGAACACCTGAACCCCCTTCAACCCTACAATTTAAAGGTCTATCTAGTATTTGCAAAGCACCCCCCTCCAAAAAAAACATAACAATAAAAAAAGAAAATAAAGAATAATCTCTATATTGCCCCTAGAAGGAGGAATTTGTTTTTTTGGGGGGCTCTTAAGCAATTAGTGGCTATCAGGTACGCTGAACCGGGCCTTCACTCAGATGCATTCCCGGATCAGATGCTTTGGTGTAGGTTTTAGGGTTTAGGGTTTTGAGTTTAGGGTTCAGGGTTTAGGGTTCAGGGTTCAGGGTTTAGGGTTCAGGGTTCAGGGTTTAGGGTTTAGGGTTTAGGGTTTAGGGTGGTATGCATGTATATGCGTTGATGTGCACTCATGTGGACGAAAGAAGGGGAGCAGTCGAAAGCCATCGAATGCGAATGCCATCTCATGAAGGAGCCTTCCAAAGCCCTGAACTATCCCAGAGTGCTTGTCTCTTCATCCAAACCCTCCTGAGCTGGCTTTCGATATGGCCAGAACCCGAGGCCCTTCCCAGACCCCTGAACTCTCAACCCAAGTTGAAGAGATTGGGCACTCTCGCTCTCGCGCTCTCTCGCTCTCGGGCTGTCTCTCTCTGTCTCCCTCTCTCTCTCCCTTTCTCTCTCTCTCTCTCTCTCTCCTTCCCTCTCCATCCATGGCTTTGACCAACCGTGGCACAAATTGTGCAGGTGACCTGGAGCCCTGACTCAGCCAGGGACGTGAAGACGATGGCTTCTGCGGGGAAATGAGTCCGGCGTTTGATGTTAAGGTCTTTGAGACTTTTGCCGAAGTCCCCTTGGGCAGTTCTCTCTAAATCATGATACCCTTTGGCGCACTTGAAACAGAATAGAAACGGAGGTGCTATGGAAATCTTCGGTGACTTCCAAAAAAGCCAGGTTTGTTTCTTCCTCAGTGAAGGTATAGTCTTCGGAAGAATGCCTTGCGAGCCCATGAGACCCCAAACATCCGAAACGGACGCACAGCGCCCGCAAGACCCCTGCAAATCCAAGTCGGCCTGTGGGATGCTTCAACATCTTCCTTTGGCATTTTACAAGCGACCCCCCCACCCCCCCCCTTCGGAAGAGCCAACAGCCCCCTGAAGCCCGAAAGGGCCGAGAGTTGCAGGGTTGAGGGAGTTGAGGGAGCTTAAGGTTGAGGGCGTTGAGGGAGTTTAGGTTTCAGGGTTGAGGGATTGCGGGTTTAGGGTTTGGGGTCTCAGGGTTGAGGGAGTTGAGGGTTTACAGCCTTGAAAGCCCTTTGATTTCCTTGGAGTCAGGCCAGGGGTCCGGTTGAAGTCTCTTGGAGACCTGCAGGCACTGCACAATCATCGTAGGGCCTTACTCTCAAGGGACTAAAGGAGGGACCCTTTTGAGGGGAATTAAGGGGTTATGTAGGGTTTTTATGGGGGCTACTGGGACTATATGAGGTATACATGTAGGTGTTCTTGAGGGGAATAAGATTCAGGGCCCCTTCTAGGGGTCCCTCCTTATACCCCTTAATGCTCTTTCCCTACGAAGCCACGACGACTCTGCGGAAGCCCGCCGGCCGAGTTCTTGCAGCTCAAGCCCACATGCGGTGGTGTCACATCTCAGGGGACTGCAGACACGTTCCCTCTCATCCGGGCATTGTTGGGCTAAAGGCGGCTTGGAGTTCAAAGTTCCGTGGAGGAGGTCGAGTTTAGGCTTGTTAATACATGGGGTCTCAGGAGGCAGGTTCTGCGCACGCCTAGTGTCACTCTTCCGCGCGCCCCCTCCGAACGGAGAGCCTCGGCAGGGTGCTCTGTGACTCTGTGCAGGGTCTTCGGGCTTCCGGGCAATACATCCGCACTTCCAAGGAAAGCATGCAACCCTCCCAAAGAACCCGAGCAGCAGCAGCAGCAGCAGCAGCAGCAGCAGCAGCAGCAGCAGCAGCAGCAGCAGGAGGGCTTGGTGGGGGTTACCCAGTTGAACATGGTTTTGGGGTGTAGGGGTTCGGATTCCGAAGCCCTGGTACAGACCCTAAACGCCCCAAACACAACCTAACCCTCAAAACCCTCTAATAAACCCTAACATTAAACCCTCAACCATTGTTCCGAAGTTCGTGAGCAGGATCACGTTGTGTAAAGGATTTCAGCCCATCTAGAAACTAACACTAACCCGCAACCCGGAATCTCGACCGTACCGTAGCTCCCAAATTGCCGCTCCCAATTTCTTGAGAAGGCGGGGGAGGGGGGAGGGGGGGGGTTGGTACGCTAATCAACATTCCCGAAGCTTTGCCCTAAATTGGCCCTAAACCCTCAACCTCCATTAAGATGCAGGTAGGTAGCTGGTCCTCAGGTGAAGGCCCCGGGATTCCTCCTGAGCCCTACATGTAACACCAGGGTTTAGGGTTTAGGGTTTAGGTTTAGGGTGGTTCCTGACCCCAAAAACCGCCTGCACAGCCTATGAACCTTTAAAACAACTCCACTCAACAACCAACAAGTACTTGGAGGTTCATGGCACTTGTTCCCTAAACCCTAAACCCTCAACCCTAAACCCTTATAGCCATCTTAAGGGCTCATAAGTGGGCTATAAGTGCAGCTCTACTTGGTTACTAAGTACCATGAACCTCGAAGTAGGACCCCAGAGCAGGCCCTCAGTCCCTTTTGAGGGTTTCGGTTCCCTTGTCAGCCCTTTTAAAACCAAAATGAGGGTTTAGGGCTTAGGGTTTAAGGGCTAAGGGTTTAGGGTTTAGGGTTAGGGTTTAGGGTAGCACCCTTGTTTTTCCCAGGTTACTCTTGGGTCTACTTAGGGTCATCGGGGAGCTTCTCTGAGTTAAGGCCCCTTTTGGGGCTCCTACTTTAGTACGGAGCCTTTAAACATAGGGTGGTCTGGACCCTAAACCCTAAACCCTAATTAAACCCTAAACCCTAAACCCTAAACCCTAAACCCTAAACCCTAAACCCTAAACCCTAAACCCTAAACCCTAAACCCTAAACCCTAAACCCTAAACCTAGATAACAACCATAACAACCAGCAAAACTCCCAGGTCGCGTCATGGCGGTGCCCCTGGCGGCGCTGGCCGCGGTGCTGGCGCTCCGCTGCCACCTCGCGGGGGCTCAACAGGAGGCTGGGTTTAGGGTTTAGGGTTTAGGGTTTAGGGCAGGGGGCCTTCAGGTTTGTTTGTTTAGGGTTCAGGGTTTCGGGTTTAGAGTTTAGGGTTTAAGGTTAAGGTTAGGGGTCTAGGGCTTTAGGGCGTGTTGTTGTGTTTGGTTCTTGGGTTTCAACCTGAACCATAAGCCCTAAACCATAAGCCATCCCCAAGCCCTTTTTGGGCTTTGGGATGCAGGGGCTCGAGGCGCCTTTGTTGGGTCACCTCGAAAGTGGGGGTAGGGTTGACTTACATCCTTAAAGCCCTGCATTGGACCATCTGGGGGGTTTGCGAAACTGGCTGGGGTTTAGGGGTTTGGCGTTTGGGGTTTAGGGTTTAGGGTCAAACCCCCCTAAACCAATCCTTAAAACCCGAAACTCTATCCGGGTGAGGTTTAGTGAGGTTGAGGTTTAGGGGTCGGGGCTTGAGGGTGCTAGACATTTCGGCTTTCGGGGGGCAGGGCGCAGGGACATGGCTTCAGCCAGAGGTTCGATCGTTCTAGGTTTTAGGGCTCTAGGGTTTAGGGATGAGGGGCAACCGAAATCCTTCCCCTAAGCCGCATGTCACCCTAAGCCCTCACTCAACCCTGCGCAGATACCTAAACCCTAAACGCAAAACCCGACACCTTCTCCTTTCAGGGTCTTCTTGGAGGAAGCCCTAAGCCCTAAACCCCAAACCCCAAACCCCAAACCCCAAACCCCAAACCCCAAACCCTAAACCCTAAACCCTTTCAGGGTTTTTTTGGGTTCTGGGGATCTAGACCCTCCCAGGGATCCTCGCCGGATCTCGGAGCTGCTCGGATCCAGACAGGGTTTAGGGTTTAGGGTTTAGGGTTTAGGGTTTAGGGTTTAGGGTTTAGGGTTTATTTAGGGTTTAGGGTTTAGGTTTTAGGGTTTAGGGTTTAGGGTTTAGGGTTTAGGGTTTAGGGTTTAGGGTGTAGGATCAGGATTTGAGGTTTGGGATTCAGGGTTTGGATGTTAGGGTTTAGCGCTTAGGGCTTGGGATTTGGGGTGTAGGGTTTAGGAGTTAGGATTGGAGGTTTAGGGTTTAGGGTTTGAGGTTTAGGGTTTGGGATGTAGGGCTTTGGGATTGAGGGCGGAAGGCTGCTTCAGGGTTTCGGATGTGTAGGGCATGCTGTTTTCTTAAGGGCTTATAGGGCTTAAGGGGCGAGGCTTTTCGATTAACGCTTCAGCTGGGTTCTGGAGTACTATACTTTAATGAATGTTTTCTGGGTTCCCATGATGGCTACTTATAGCTTCCTAACAAGTATACCTTTTTCCCCAGGGTCTACTCCAAAGTACCCCAAACCCTAAACCCTAAACCCTAAACCGTGTAGGTCCTTACCTTGGTGGATCGTTTTGCCGGAGCCCTCGTGACGGGTTCGGCGTTGTGACCTGGAGATGGCTGCAAGGTTTAGGGTTTTGGGTTTAGGGTGTGGCTACGGGTGCCTTGAAGGGCCAGAACGTGGTCAATCGCCTTGAAGAGGAGAAGTTGTCTCGCGGCCTAGAGGACAGGTCCAACAGTGGTCGATATGCCGATATGCAGACACAGAGACCGCCCAGGAGAGATTCTGGACTCGGGGCCGGTCGCAGGAGGCTCAGACGCTCTTAAGCAGACGTGCGGGGTGACCATGAAAGGCAGCAAGGACTACCTGGAGGTTCATGATACTTGTTGGTTACTCTAATATGGCTATGAGTACAGTTACAAGTACCTTTAAAATAGGTTCATAAGTACCATGACCCTCCAAGTCGTGCATGGAGGGGGGGTCCCTCACTTCTGGACTGCTCATGTCGACGCGGTCCGCCTGCGGCGAAACGCCAGATGCGTGCTCCAGATCCTGAGTATCCAGACCTGACCTCCGAGCCCCGTGCCTTCGGTTTAGGGTTTAGAGTTTAGGGTTTATAGGGTTTAGGGTTTAGGGTTCAGGGTTTAGGGTTTAGGGTTTAGGGTTTAGGGTTTAGGGTTTAGGGTTTAGGGTTTAGGGTTTAGGGTTTAGGGTTTAGGGTTTAGGGTGGCCATCGACGAGACAGTGTGGAAGAAGGATTACCAGGACAAACTGGGTGTGAAGTCTGGGCTTGCCACCCTGCCCCACCTGGCCCCAGCACGTCTAGCTAGGGTTCAGGGTAAACCCTAAACCCTGAACCCTAAACCCAAAGCCGAAACCCTAAACCCTAAACCCTAAACCAAGGCCGGCCTTGGCTGTAGAAAGACGTTCTGTCGATGGCGGGGCCAAGCCCCGAAGTTCAAGATCTTCAACTAGAGAACCCAGGAGCATACACTTTAGGGTGCAGGGTTTAGGGTTTAGGGTTTAGGATTTAGGACCCGGAGTAGGCCCTGATTCCCTTTTTGTGATGTCTGGGTTGCCTGATAAGCCTCTTAAACCAAAAAGGGTACCCTTGATTTTATTCGCAGTTTATTTGTGTGTCTAGTCGGGGCATCGTTCGAATCTTCTCCCTCTAGAAAACTGCACGAACATAAAGAGGCCTTGTAGGAAAACTTCTGATTCTGATGTGGAAGGGATGAAGGTTTTGAGTGCTTGAGGGTTCTAAAGGTTTAGGGTCTAGGGGTTAGGGTTCAGGGCTCTTATTGGCTTTTTGCGCGGCTTTCTGGGGTTTCAAAAAAAATTTAGGCCGTTGAAGGCTTTAGGCTTTAGGGTTTGCAGCTTCAAGGATTTCGGGACTAGAGGGTTTAGGGTCTATAGGGTCTAGAGTTTAGGGTTCAGGGTCTAGGGTCTAGGGTCTAGGGTCTAGGGTTTAGGGTTTAGGGTTTAGGGTTCAGGGTTTAGGGTTTAGGGTTTAGGGTTTGGGGAGAAACCGCCGAGGCCGTCAAATCCTTCCAGGACTTCGATGAGTTCCGCATGGCCCAGGTTGGCTTAGAGTTTCGGTGTTTGGGTCCTTAAACCCTAAACCCTAAACCCTAAACCCTAAACCCTAAACCCTAAACCCTAAACCCTAAACCCTAAACCCTAAACCCTAAACCCTAAACCCTAAACCCTGCCATCCGAAGATCATCCTGTACCCAAACGATGGGGGAGAGGGGGTGTTTGAGGTTTAGGGTTCAGGGTTTTCAAGGTTTAGGGTCTACAGGGTTTAGGGTTTTTAGGGTTTAGGGTTTAGGGTTTAGGGTTTAGGGTTTAGGGTTTAGGGTCTACAGGGTTTAGGGTTTTTAGGGTTTATAGTGGGTTAGGATTTTTAGGGTTGATCGGGTTTTGAAGGGTTTGTAGGGTTTAGGGTTTTCAGGGTTTTGTGAGTCTCTACGGTAGCATCTTTCTCGTGATGTGGTGGGTCTGGGTCTTAGTCTTAGGGCCTACGCCGCATGCATCCCAACATCTATAGAGCCTAAACCCCACACCCCCCTAAACGCCCTAAACCCCGTCAAGCCCCTAACCCCCCTAAACCCCCTAAACCCCTAAAGCCCCTCAAGCCCCTGAAGCCCCTAAAGCCCTAAACCCCAAAGCCCTTAACTTATCGCGCACGCACGCACGCACGCACGCACGCACGCACGCACGCACGCACGCACGCACGCACGCACGCACGCACGCACGCACGCACGCACGCACGCACGCACGCACGCACGCACGCACGCACGCACGCACGCACGCACGCACGCACGCACGCACGCACGCACGCACGCACGCACGCACGCACGCACGCACGCACGCACGCACGCACGCACGCACGCACGCACGCACGCACGCACGCACGCACGCACGCACGCACGCACGCACGCACGCACGCACGCACGCACGCACGCACGCACGCACGCACGCACGCACGCACGCACGCACGCACGCACGCACGCACGCACGCACTCACGCACGCACGCACGCACGCACGCACGCACGCACGCACGCACGCACGCACGCACGCACGCACGCACGCACGCACGCACGCACGCACGCACGCACGCACGCGCGCGCGCACGCGCATGCATACCAAAGACCCCAAGGCCTCAAGTCTGGTTGGGTCTAGGGTGTCGGGTTTTGGATGATAAGCCCTTTGTGGTTAGGGTTTAGTGTTTATGGTTTGGGGCTTATGGAGCCCCTAGGTAGGGCTGCAAACTCCAAGCCCTGAAGCCTACTCCCTATAAGGGTCTTGAGAGGGCTTCTGGGGCTTACGGTTTTGCACGGTTTAGGGTTTCTGGGTTTTCTAGGGTTTCTAGGGTTTCTAGGGTTTCTAGGGTTTCTAGGGTTTCTAGGGTTTCTAGGGTTTCTAGGGTTTCTAGGGTTTCTAGGGTTTCTAGGGTTTCTAGGGTTTCTAGGGTTTAGGGCTTAGGCATTAGGGCTTAGGGCTTGGGGCTAGGGTTTAGGGTTTCTAGGGTTGACTGGAATTAGAGGCTTTAGAGGGTCTAGAGTGTTTAGGGGGGTTTAGAGGGTTTAGGGTCAAGAGCTCAACGGCCCTACGTGCTAATGCTTAAAACCCTAAACACACAACACACCCCCGTCCCTTCCACCTACAGAAAAGGCTTAAAACAAGTCCCCTAGAAGCCCGAAAACCAAAGCACCTTTCCGTCAAGCCCTTGAACCTGAAATCTATTTTAACAAAGTAGTACTAAACCCTAATTAAACTCTAAGCCCCTACCCTAAACCCTAAACCTCATCTAGAAGACCCCAGGTACACATGAACAATGTCCCGACCTCCACTTAAGCTGACCACAACCCTAACCCTAAACCCTACACCCTGAACTTCTCAAAATCCTCCCTTCTCCACATTGAAACTCTAAACTCTAAGAACTAAAGGCCCCTGAATCCCAAAGGCCGTAGACCCCAAACCCTAAACCCTAAACCCTAAACCCTAAACCCTAAACCCTAAACCCTAAACCCTAGCGCTCCCCAGCTCCATGGACAGGTTGCGGCTGGACAAGACAGACCCAAACACCCTGGAGCCACTCAGCTTAGCATTTAGGGTTTAGGGCAAGTTTAGGGTTTAGGGTTTAAGGTTTAGGGTTTAGGGTTTAGGGCTTAGGGTTCAAGGTTTAGGGTTTAGGGTTTAGGCTTTGGGGGTTGTAGGTTGGGGCTCTTGATTTCTGTCTCAGGATTTTTGTGGCTTTCGGGGTTTTGGCTGTTGGACTTGAGGTCTTTGGGTTCCTAAGTTGAGATGTTCCCCCTTTACATTAAAGAGTCCTCAGTAGGGGGTTTAGGGGTTTTAGGGTTTTAGGGGGGGGGGGGGGCATTAGAATCCCTATCAAGGACTGTGGGAACATCCCGATTAGGGCTTTAGGGCTTGGGGTGTGGAGCTCATGCTCACACAGCAGATTGACACCTTTAGGGCTTAGGATGCCCTAAACCTGAAGACCCCGAAACACCAAACTCCCGAACCTTCTGGCGTGGAACCCTAAAACCCTATACGCCCTGCAAACTCTGTAAGACCTATAAACCCTATAAACCCTTTCAGAAGCCCTATACACCCTGCAAACCCTTCATAAACCCTGTAAACCCTGCAAGCCCTCTTCCGTTTACCCTGTAATTAAACCCTATAAGCCCTGCAAACTGCCTAAACCCTATGAACGCTACACCCCTAAGCCCCCACCCTAAAGCCAAGACCCTCAACCCGAAACCCCTAAACCCGGGTTTAGGGTTTAGGGTTTAGGGTTTAGGGTTCAGGGTTTAGGGTTTAGGGTTTAGGAAAACACCCAAAGGCGCTTCAATATCCAAACGGCCTTTCACGGCCTTTCAGCCGAGGGTTTCGGACACCCCGATTCTTCGGAAATGATCAAGGCCCCGCAGCCCACGTGGCAGGTTTTTGGGGTTTAGGGTTTGGGGCTTAGGAAGCATTTGGGGTTTAGGGATTGGGGTTTAGGGCCGAGGGTTTAGGGTTTCGGGTTTTGGGGTTTAGGATTCTAGGGTTCTTGGGTTCTCGGGTTTGAGGTCTAGGGTTCTAGGCTTCCAGGCTTCTAAATCGGCTTCTGGGGTTCTAGGGTTTCAGGGTTCTAGACTTATAGAGTTCATGGTTTCTAGGGTTCAAGGTTTTTGGGTTTTGGAGTTGGGGTTTGGGCTTTTGGCTTCTTCAGGGTTGTCTTCATTACTACAGTAGGACCCGGAGTAGGCCCTTATTTCCTTTCTTAGGGTTGGGGTTTCCGGATAATCCCCTTTAAAACTAACAAGGGCACCCTTTTATTCCTAGGTTACTCCTGGGTCTAGTAGCCCTAAACCCTAAACCGGGGTCTAGATGACGACCCAGGAGAGCTTTGGCCTTTTTGGAAATCTTGCTCTTTGGAGAATGCCCTTGTGCAGTTTAAGGGCCATGACGGGCCTTACCGTGAGCTGCCAGCACAAAGTCAGTACAGGTTTGGGGGGGGGGGGGGCTTGGAGTGGGCCCTTGTCGGGCCTGTCAGAATACCCTTGGCCGGTTTAGGGTTTAGGGTTTAGGGTTTAGGGAAGGTTTTAGGGTGTGGGGCATAGGGCCCCTCAACCCAAACCCTCCCAAGCCCCAAACCCTAAGCCAAGAGTAACGAAGCATGTCTCCCTAAAGAGAAGCTTTCAACAACTTTTGGGACGTCAGCCTGATCCCTGGGTACAGGTATAGTGTAGTGCCTGAAGCGAAAGCTTCGGCCACTAAATTCGAGTATGGGAACACATGTCACTTCTAAACTCTCAAACCCCACATGCCCTAAGCTTTCTACCAGAAACGCTAAACCCGAAATTCTAAACCCGCAGAGAAGCCCTGCAGACAGCGGAGATGGACCCTATAAATTTTCAACCTCCCCAACATGCCTGACCTGTCCTAAACCCAAACCCTGTTTTAATGTTGAGGATCCAGGGTTTAGGGGTTTAAGGGTTTAGGGGTTTAGGGGTTTAGGGGTTTAGGGGTTTAGGGGTTTAGGGGCTTAGGGTTTAAGAGCGGTTATATCTAAAAGTTGCGCCCCCCCCCCCCCCCCTCAAACTGCGATGGTGCGCAGGTGGTGATTGGGAGCAGCCTCAGCGAAAACCAGAAGTGTGTGACTCCTCCAGGACTGACGCTGGCAATGTGGTTTGGGGTTCAGGGTGGGTTTAGGGGTGTGGTTTTGCACCCTGCCTCAATCCCATGCAAGTCAAAGCTCAGCGAGCAACATAGCCTGACGAAAAAACCTTGAAGCCGGAACTCACCCTAAACGCCCTAACAACCCGGAAGACCTTGCAAGTCGTACCAACACTAGAAGACATACAGCAAAAAGAAGCAATAGAAGATCGTTGGTAATGTAGTGCGGCCGCAATAGTAGTTGTTTGTCGTGGGAATTAGTCGTTATCCAAGGGAAACGGGGTACATGCTGCACGGAGCGCAAGACAGGGCGCGACGGATTCCACTCGAATGCAGTCACTGTACTCCCTTGGCCATGGTCTTACTGGCCATGGTTGAGCTGCAGCGCCCTTATACGCAGAACGCCTAGAGGGTTAACATGTATTGGGCGTATGTTCCGAAGCCCTTAGCAATCGTAGGAATCGGGGTGTGGGCTCACAGTCTGAGGTCCAGAGAAGAGGTGGCGGACGACAGCTCAGATGACTCCTCGCGAGCCTCCCCACGCTCACCGTGACGACAGCCACTGGCCGTAGTTGAGGCCAGGGAACTGAGAGGCGAGTTCGAATCACGTGGGCTGTCAGACGACAGACGGAGCCTCGATATCGTGGAGGCACATCGCGAAACATGGATGACGAGTATCCAACGTCTCGCACACATCCTGCTTCCCCGCGAGGCTCGGCCATCCCATTCGCTCCGTGCGCTCCGGCCGTGCTGTCAGCGCAGGCGCCGGGATGGATGAGGAGCGTCGCGTGCATGTCCTTGGCAACAGTATAATCATCCTGGAGGATCATGAGCAAGACGGGCATCTTCGCTGGCCGACGCGCGGTGCAGTCGTTGCTGGGAGCCGCTGTGGGGTGCGCGATGCCGCTGTAGACGCAGCTCAAGAGGCCGGCGTGCTGACGCACCTTATTTGGCTCAGCTCCAGGATGGGATTTAGGGTTTAGGGTTTAGGGTTTAGGGTTTAGGGTTATAGGGTTTAGGGTTTAGGGTTTAGGGTTTAAGGTTTAGGGATTCTCGAGGCAGCCTTGCGCCGAAGAAGGACACTGCTGAGTGCTACCGCAGCCGACGACTTTCGAAGCGACCCGGAGCGTCCCTGTCGTAGGCCGCGCCGGGTGCGACGCAGCGGCATCGTAAGATGCACTCACTTCGACGCCAGACCTGCCGGTTCAGTCCCGATGCTGCTCCTTGCAGTTTTCGCAAGCGTGCGCGGTGAAGCAGTCGACGGGATGCAGCTCTCAACGCCCAGGATGATTGTAGTGAGACCTGCGCCGTAGCCCAGGTGATCATGTTATTACAACCACTGCATGCGACAATCCTAAGGCTGTAAGGATAATTTCATTACTTTCTGACAGTTCATAGCCCCAGAGCCTTAAACCCATACTGACAATTCTAAAGTCGTGATCAGGACCGGTGGACTGCCCAAAGGATCTGATGCTGAAAGATCCGTGGATGCACAGTGGTACTATAGGGGCCTGAATAAGTAGAATAGGGTTTTGGGCGTTCTAGTATAATTAATGATAAAGGAACGATAAGGTAGTACGACTAGTATTTCTTCCGACCCTGTGGTACCCTTGTTTCCTTTGAAAGCTGAGAAGGTTGGAACCCATTTTCGCACTGCTTCAGATTTAAACCTTGAGCCCTATAAATAACCTTAAACCCCGAACTTTAAACACTGCCTGGACGCCCAAAGTGCGTAGACAACTAGCTAGCCCCAAAACCCAGAAAAGGACCGTTTTCTTACATACTTTGTGGGCTTGGGTGAACCGCAAGTAGTACCTAAACCCTAAACCCTAAACCCTAAACCCTAAACCCTGCTGGGGCCAACTTAGGATCACACCGGCCAGTACCCCGACGAGCTCCTTGGCCTCGGGTGGTCAGAGGCGCAAGGCCCTGAAGATCTGAGGGGTTTCCTCTACGGGCCCCTAATTTGATAGGTCCCGAGCCTCCTTTAAAGGGTTCTGATGGGCCCTCAATTTGTGTATATCGTATATAAGGGGTTTTGCTAGGGGTACCCTTTTAAGGGCCCATGCTAAGGGGTAGATAAGGGGCACCCTTTGAAGGGGCCGAGGGGCCTTGAGACTACCGTGAGAGAAGCTCGACCCCTGGGGCCCTAGGACACGGAATCTTGAGAGATCCTACCTTGTAGTTTGCAAATGAAGCCCTATAAGCCCTAAACCCGAAACCCTAACCCCTGAAGTTTAGGGTTTAGGGTTTAGGGTTTAGGGTTCCTTTTTTGGGTACCCTCAATATTGGGGGGCCGCCTTACAACAGTCACCCCAAAAGGGAGCAAGGGACAGTTCGCAAGTTAACTTTAGGGAGGCAAAGTCTCTTACGAAAACCACATGAGACAAGTAGCCTTACGATAGGGGGAGCCCCCTTACTTGCATCTACATAGGGTAGTGTACCTCCGCCCCCCCTCAGAACATCTAAATCCCTAGTACACAAACCCCTTCAAATTTTGCAAAGGTAACCTTCCCTTGTTGGGAAACCCCAAGCCCGAAACCTTAAACCCTGTATTTTATATCTGTGCATTCCCTCCACTTTTGCTTCCATGTATGTTGCACTTACTTGTGTCGCTCAAGCCCTCTGAGTAAAAAGGTTAGGCGCGCCCCTGCTCATGGCTTAACGGATAACAACTGGTGGATTTCCCAAACTATAGGTTATCAGCCGTAGGCTCCCCGGAGCTTGCGGCACCACTGACCTGGAGTTTCGACTCAGTGCATGGGTGACAGCCCCGAGCTGGTCCCCACCGAGGTAGCAACTGATCTCGGTACAGACGGATTTACAGACGCAGAATCCGCGGAGATGGACCTCTCAGGCACTTTGGCTATGCCACCGTCTACGGATGGCCGTGGCCTAGTGCTGGAAGAGAATGCAGCAGCAGCTAATGTGTTTGCGCCAAACGCACCTTCTCCTTTCGTAGGACTAGGAGCTCCGCAGATCCACATGTACCGACAACAGTTTCAGCAGAACATCACGATAGGTGAAACACCTGAACAAACAAGACTTCTCCTCACTGAGTTAGAGAACGAAGCAGAGTCCAGGCACCAGAGGTTCCGCCTAGCTGCTGAAGAAGCCCATGATCAACAAATCGCAGATGTTGAAGAAAGGGCTAACAGGCAGCACGAGGAAGTCGTTGCTAGACTTGAGTCTGAAATTGCTAGCCAAAGGTATAGCTTTGTCGCGAGGACCCAAGGTCTCTTTTCAGAACTCCAGCAACAAAGCCAGATAATCAATTTTCAGTCAGAACATTTTTCCGATGTTGGTTCGCAAATCACACGTCTCAGGACAACTCTGGTTGAAGAGGCTGAACAGAACAAGAGGGAAAGCATTAACGAGATTGGGGAATGGTTTGGGAGAGAGCATGATGAGGCAATGAAAAGGTACCGCAGTATAGCCCTGGAAACTGAAGAGCAAATGAGGATTCAAAACATGACCCTCCAAGATGAATTGTCATCAATGGAGCGTGCGCTCCAGCTCGAACAGGACAGGAATTTAGGTATCAATCCCTCGCAGCAAGCTCAGTTTCCCAGCGCCACTGCCCCAGTTGCTCCAGCGCCAAGCGCCGGGCTTAGTGCTCCGTGTGCCCCTCAGTTTTCAGATCCGAGTGTGATTCCGATGAACATCAGGGCATTGTTTCCAAACTTCAGTTTTGGCGGTGTGGCAACTACTGCCACTCCAACAGGACCACAGGGTCCGGTTTCTGCCCCAGGGACCCCAACAGCATCAGCTAACGTCCCAAATCTAGGATTCTCTAGTGGTGGGTTGAACGCCGGAGCCCCTGGTCTTGCGGCCCCAACCGGCACGCCGGGAGGTCCGGCAGCCACAGGAGCCGATTTAATCGCACAGACGCAGCAAGCGCTGCTTGAAGCCGCCAAGCTTCTTAAAGGAGACAAAAGCGGTGAAGATGACAAACCAAAGGTTAAAGAAGCTGAAACCATCCGCCTGCCGGATTTCCCTAACCCCGAAACCTACCGTGCATGGAAAACCGCAACACGGGAAGCAGTTAGGGCAGCTTCAGATAGACCAGATGAAGCCTTCTCTTGGATTCTAGAGGTGTATTCTAAGAATGCTGATCATGACAAGCTTCGTGAACCCGGTAAGTTTCTCACGCTGGATACCAAAATCCTAGCCGCTCTCACTAAGGTCGCCAAAGGTGAGTTATCTCGACAGGTACTCACTTTCAAGGAAACCGAGGCGGTTCAAGGACGTGCCGTACGAGGACGCCAGGTCTTGCTCATGTTTGATCAGTACTTCAAAACAAATGAAGAGGTAGGATCGATCTATTCGGTAGAAGACCTTTTGAAGGTTACACTGCATAGTGACGATCTAACCACATTTCTGCACAATTGGGAATCAGTCATTGCTGGCATGAGTCATGTCCCAGAAGAAATGGTTCTGCGTGACATCCTTCTTCGGCAAATCCGAAAGTCCTCAAGAATGAAGTATGATTTGGAAATCTACGACAGGGCGAAAGAGGGTTCTGCCTCACACTCCTATGCGTTCTTGTTGAAGTCAATCCGGGATTTGTTGACCCGTGAAAGGATGCGCAAGAACAGGGATAGAATCGCCAAGTCACATGGGGACAAGTTTGGAGCTCCTGTTGTTGAAGGCGGAAGGCCGACACGCCCTCCGTCGAGGAGCGGCCGCGGAAGGGATCGCTCTGCCGGTAGCCAGTCCAATTCAAAGTCAAGGTCTCGCTCTAGGACCCCATCCAGATCTAGATCACCTAGCCGATCGCAAAGCCCAAAGCCAGTTTGCTACGACTTTCAAAAGGGTAAGTGCACCAGGGGTGACAAGTGCAAGTTTTCGCACAAACCACGTTCACAATCCCCTGTTCGCACTGCCCCGAAGAAGAAACAGGTCTGCACGTTTTGGAAGAAGGGAAAGTGCACCAGGGGAGATAAGTGTCGTTTCTTGCATAGGGAACCGAGCCCTGCTCCCCCAGGTGGTGAAAACGCAGCCCCGGCCCCTAAGGGCCCAGACAAACCAAGGTCCCCGTCACCCGCGCCAACGCGCAGGAAACCAAGCCGTGGACGCTCTAAGGAAAAGGATAGGAAGGCCGCGTGCTGCATCTCGCTTGCGGCTGCAGCCTCAGCCGGTCCTGATGAGAGTGAACCACAAGATGGGGACGAAGACTACTGGGAAGTAGACTTCAAAAGGGGTGAAGCTGTTAGGCACCATCTGAAGTACAGAAGTACTATGTACAAGCCCGAAGTGTCATGTCCTGTTGCTCTTGAAAGGTTGAAGGGTAAGGCTAAAGTGATCAAGACGCTTCCCATTTCTCCATACACTGCAAAGGAGAACTGGGACTGGAAAGAGGGAAGAGGGGGAACCGGCGATAAGATGCCGTGGACCGGCAAGACTGTTTTTAAGATCAAAGAACAAAACAAGAAGGTCAGTTTTTGCGACAAACCCAAAGTCAGGGAAATCCCTTTTGAGGGAAAGGGGTACAAACATTCCTACAAAGTTCGCAGGTACAATACTTGCTATGCTGATGCGGAAAACTGCCCTAAGCCTGACGCTAATGACCTTCAGGTTGCAATTAGGAACGCAAGGGAACTCAAGATGCTTCTTGCCCGGCATGAGGGGGGAGAGAAGACCGATTGCCACTTAGAGTGTGATGAGCCTGATTCTCTCATGTGTGGGATGTGCAAGCACGTCGTTGAGAGCTCAGAGATGGCTTGTCCAGGGATCGCCACACCCTTAGAATTCCTTGCTGACACAGGAAGCGAGGAGGACCTTATCAGCGAAGCTGATCGTGCTATGTACTTCGGCGAAGAGCCAGTAGGCAATGCAACACGACAAGTGAATCTCATCACTGCTAATGGTAACGTCAAAGGTGACAAGTCGGTTAGGATCGACTTCCCGGAGTTTGGCAAAGAGCTAGAGTTCTATGTTCTCAACAGCACCCCTCCTGTTTGCTCCGTAGGCAGAAGGTGCATGGAGGACGGTTATGAGTTCCACTGGTACCCCAAAAGGCCGCCTTATTTTGTTGCGCCCAATGGTCAAAGACTAAGGTGCAGAATGAGAGGTATGGTCCCAGTGCTAGGGGGAGGAGCAATGGCCGCTCCAAGCACTAAGGAGGAAGCCTCAGGTTCTCTCGGACGACCAATTTTGTCCGAGGGTTTTCAGAAAACTGCCGCCCAATAGGGCCGGCCGAGGCTTTCGCAGGAGCAGCAGAGGAACGAGATCCAGTGGTCGAGCACCCCGATCCTGAGATCTCCGCAGCCATCAATGAGGTGCCGCCGATAGATATCCCCAAAGAGAAGCTCAAAAGACCAGGTTGGGTTTCGCACCCAAATGCTAAGTACTTGATTGTCGGACACAAACCAAAGACGTTTCGTACTGCCACACCAAGGTTTCCAAGATGCGAAGTCAGATCTACTTGGTTGTTCAGGGAAGGTTCCTGGGTCAAGGTTGAGGATAAAGTGAACGTCAGGGAGCTTGACAACAAAGTTGCCCGACTGGAGGGTAATCCAATCCTGGGCCTCACTATCTTCGAAGACCCCGATGTTGAACCTGACAGTGACAACGAAGGAAACGCCCGCAGTCTTGCAGAGGCCGATCTGAAAGCTGAAGCCAAATCTGTTGAGCACTTGTTCTCGCACAGGCCCAAGAATCCGTTCTGCGAGGTATGTCAGCGCGCAAAGATGTTGGCTCCCCAAGCCCGCAAAAAGGGGGGCTCAAGTACCATTGTGTCAAAGGCCTTTGGGGATCACATCACTGTTGACCATATCATCACTCGTGACCTTCGTGATCATGGGTTCCAGGACGAAAGGGTCGCACTTGTTGTTAAGGACGTGTTCACCAAATTTCGTTACGTCTACCCCTCTCCGACTAAGTCAAGCGATC